AAATATCAACGATACTTTTATCTTTATCAAGCGTTTTAAGAATTGCATGTTGAATATTATAGTTTTCCAATATCCATGCTAAAGGTCCTTTTTTATCACTTTCGTTATTATATCGAATCCTTGCATCGCTTATTCCATCCCAGACTTGCATATCACTAAATGGTTTTATTCGTTCTTCATTAATATTTTGCCAAACCCCTATATCTAAATGATCGAGCATTCAAATTATTATCTAATCCTTTTTTTTTTTGGAAAAATTTGTTCATGATAGATACCTTTGAAAAATTGAACGGAACGTGGTGTTAAAGAACTAACTCGATTTGAAAATTCTCCTTGTAGAGGGTTCCATTCTCTTATGTTTGATGTGTTACTAGATTCGATTAATGCAATACGTTTTTGCAATTTAGTTAAGTTTGAAGTTGCCAAAGCACATGCTAACGCACTTCCTGCTATACCTCCTCCGACTATTACAATGTCATAAATATCTTCCAATTTTGATGTAGTGGATACTGTTGCTAGAAACCTTTTATTCAAATTTGTAGAAAATTTCTGAAATAATGTTCGATTTGTTAAATATTTCACGGACATTTTTTTTTTGTTTTAAGGAAAAAAAAAAAAGTTTTGATCACATCAATCACATGGACGCGCTTATGTAAAAAAAATTGGGTAACATGATTGTAGATCCGTCTTTATAGAAAACCCACCTTTGGTCGGTCAATAAAAATAAAACCATATGACCGCCGATTAATCGATTGTTTTTTTTACCAGGCCAGAGTAAACATTCTTATTTTTATTTTAGTATTTTTCACATGAATTTTTCTCATTGAATTTAAATTGTTTCTTTTTTATAAAAAAAAAGTTTTCTTATAACCCAAAAACTTTTAATATTTACCGTTCAGGTAATTGTCATTGGGTAGAATTTTATTTATTTGAATTTCAAATCGTGTAACGTATTAAAAATAATGACATTCATTTATAAACATCGGGTGGTTGCAGGAAATTCTCGATTTGCAAACACTTTTTGTTATCTATTGTCGATTTTTTTTTTAAAAAAAAAAAAATGAATAGGATAGCGAACACCTTTACCTGGGAAATCGGAAGTTTTCAAGAGTACGTAAGGAATATATCACATGGAAATTCCATTTACAGTCAAAAATTTTGGATACCAAAGTTCCCTTTGGAAAAGTATCAAAATGAAAACGAAAGCAAGAATCCTTCATTATGGCAATTGCGATTATTTCCAAATGGTGACAATTCGATAGAATCCATAAATCACATCTCATTATTCCTAAAGGCCATACAAACACCATATGAGAAGTTAAACGAAGTTAATGGTAGAAATCAAAAATATATAGTAATTATTGGCAGGACGTTAATAAATGAAAATAAGAAAATACTTATCAAGAATACTTCCATATCCACGAATTATTTCGTCTTTAATAATATTAGCAGTGGATGGGGTCATAGAAGGTTTGTTGAATTAAATTCAATATTTCCAGATGGTAACAAAACTCAAGATGTAGATTTATTTGTTCAAATTACATTTTTTAATGATAATTATGAAATTACAAAAGAAGAAGGTTTACTAGATATCAATAAACCGATGGAATACTTTGAAAATGAATCCTTCTCGGATATAGAATTTACGTTCGAATGTGGATCAAGGATTAGGGCACATCGTGTAATACTTGCGTTTAATTCGGAATACTTTAAGAATATGTTAAATGGTGGATGGAAAGAACAAGATATGGACGTTATACCGATTAAAGAGACGAGTTATGAAACGTTTAGGGCCATCCTTTATTTCGTTTATACGGGGAAATTATTAAATTTAGATAATTTTGAGACTCTTTGTGAACTTTTTAAACGATCTGATATGATGTTGTTGGGAAATTTGAAAAAATTGGTCGTAAAGAAAATGATTGAATTTATTAATGAAGAGAATTGGGATGTATTTTTATTTCTGGGATCTAAGGATTACATATTAAAAGTTACTGGGTTGGAATATGCCGCTTATCATTGGGAAATGGCTAAAAAAAGCGAAGGAATGTTACGATTATATGCAAATTATGATATTAATGAAATGGAAGAATTGATCTTGTTTGTAAATAAAAGAAAAGAAATTGTAGACTTGGGATTTTAATACTATAAAAAAAATTTTTTTTTGGTGTTTAAATAAAAAAACTAGAAGGTTACCGCAAATCTTGTTATAAATAAATATATATATTATATATATATGTGTGTAAATATTACGAATAAACTTGTTACCTCATTTTGTTAATATTTTGCATGTTTACGTAGTATTTTTTGTATCAGCTGTTGCAGAACATTATCAGGACACGCTATCCAAAAATTTCGTGTTTGCTTGATCGTCTCCCCACGAGGGGAAGGTTCTACATAGCCTCGTGTTTCGCTATCATTTATCGAATTTACATGCCCTTTCATGTATTGGAATTAAATGTAATTTAATTTGCAAATAAAATAACGATAAAAATAAAATCATTTTTTACCTAAATATTCTCCGATTTTCCGAATTAACGAATATTAGAATTTTCATGAAGAATACATGAATTCATAACGTCTATAATCCTTCATTTTTATGAAATACATTCCTTTTTCACTAAATTTCAAAAAAAAAAATATCCAAAATTCAAATACTTTAGATAAGAAATTTATTGAACCACAAATTAATACAATGAAAACGCGTTGAATATCGCTCATAGGATCGGAGCGGCTCCGATCGAGGTCGAAATTCCAATCCATTTGTAAAGGAATCGATAATAAATCAAACCGTTAAATTCAACTCGACCTCCAAATTTTGTGGTGTCGAGATCAATTTTTGATCGGCAAGATTCGCTGCTTCAGTGCGGTTCAAAAGCAAATGGTAAATTATTCAATAAATATAAAATTCATAAAAAATTTGGCAATATGTTCGTCATGAAAATAATGATTTAAACAATAATATTATTATTACAATCATTATTTCTATCGACTTTAAAGGATTTATTTAACGAATTAGTAACATAAAAACTAAATTTTTTTTTTATATTATAAACAACGACACGCGTGCTACGTTAACTCTTTTCACAAGGCGTTACACGACCCAATCAGAAATCTAATGACATTCGAATAAATACTCGGGACAATTTTCTTCATGATTTTCTTCACGAATGGAAAACATGAACCTTTGGTCTTAATGTTACCGGATGATTTATTGGATTTTAAAATTTGACCGGTGGCTTTACTAATTAAATGATACGTGTCCCTCTTTGGACAATGAAATCCTCACTTGTAATGAACAGTTGTTAAATTTAATAAACATAATGCATCATCGTTTGGATCCACCAATAAAAACGTGCGATTTTTATATTTTAACCCACTTTAGATATAAAGTTATTATCACCAAATTTGGAAACAATTAGTTCCAAGATATTATTTCCGAATTTGAAAACAATAACTTATGAATGTGAAGGATCAAAGGATGTTCATTGTAAAAAGTTATTTATTGTTCAAAAGATATTTATTGTCAAATTTTTTATTTACGCAAATTTGAATATATTCATCTTTTCTCGTTTTCGATGAAATAATAAACTTGACATTGCATTACACAACTATGATGGAAACTTTTACACAACATTTTGTTGGCGTTTTGTTAAGTGACACAATTGATATTTTTGGTATTCGTCACTTGATAGATTTGATAGATTATATTTGAAATTCAAATATCACTGCATTAATCATCACTATTAATTAATTTATAAATAAATTATTTATGATATGCTTGGGTGACAAATAGAGCAGCTTGGCGCTTACACAACCGGAATTGTCGGAATTGGGCATTCTTTCAAAACGTTACTCGATTTGGCAAACAAATAACACAGCCCGAATCAACAAATTAGTAATTTGATTTTCAAAAATAGCGTGATTCACACACGTACCGTGTAACAGTATTAGTAATTTTGATTTTCAAACAGCGTGATTACACACACGTATAAAATGTTTCCATTTTCCTTTTCCCTTTTTTTCAAAAAAAAAAAAAAAAATCGCATTTTCTTCAGATTGTAAAGGCCTTTCCTTACATGAATTTATTGAGGGGGCGACCCGCTCTTTGGTTTACTCGAAGATACATTAAATTGTTAAATTAACTCCAAAACTTTTACGCAAAGAAGTTCGTTATTCTTTCTCAAGCTTTTCTTTTCCTCCCTTTTTTTTTTTTTTTTCCTACAAAAAGTCTTGCAAAACCTTTTTTTTTTTTTTTCCAAACAAAACTCTTGCAAAAACAGAGAGTCAAGGAGTAAAAGTAAACAAGCCCATCTCTGTTTAAAAACCCACCACTATTAAAAAAAAAATATTTCGAGTGACGTTAACGTTATTATATCCCCCTTTTTTTTTTAAAAAAAAAAAAAAAACCTAAAAATGAAATGGTTATTGTTACATCCTTAAACATGCCACTTCGTCTCGTAAAAATGAAGTAAACGACACAATATCCCCTCCAAAACCCATACAAATGCTGCGCCTCATTATGAAATCCTTTCGGTGGGAACTTTTTTTTAATTGGATTTTTTTGCTGGCTGGTAAATAGTTGATTCGGGTAATTGGTTCACTGTCGAATACTTTTATTTAAAAATATTATTAATATTATTACATTATTATAGTAATAATGATGGAAACAAAGTTAAGGAACGAAAATCCTTCTCTTTATACTTATAATTCATTACCCCCCTAACGTCCAATTTGAATTATTGGCACAAATGCTTCTTATTTTTAATTTATTAGAAATTGTCCAATTTGCTTTATTGGCACAAATTCTTGTAATTTCTTTTATATGTAAGGTTTCGGTTATATTTGTAATTATAATTCCAATTTGAATTATTGGCACAATCCTCGTGCTCTTTATAACCCTTTATATTCCAATTTGAATTATTGGCACAACTCGTGTTGTTTTTAATTAGACAAAATAGTCTGGTTGGAGTTGGGCCTTATTATAGTTGTAGATTATCTTATATAGAATCTCCTTGATAATCATTTCTTGCAATTCCCCTTTGTATGGAAAATTGTTCAAGCGGATTTCGTGAAAATTTATTACAAGAAATTAACCCTGTGAGTTTTTCAAGCCAGGCGGTTTGAAAAACTCGCAGGGTTGATTTCTTTTGTCTATTTAATAAAAAAAAAAAATATAAATAAATTTTTAAAATTACAATCTTTTTTTTTGACCATTGAAAATTTAAATTATAAAAATTGCTTTTTTTTTTACTAGCGTTTAATTAAAAAAATCTTTACCCGCTTGCGTCGTTCTTTTTTTTTTTTAAAAAAAAAAAAATTCCGTGATTAGAGAATTCTCCTAATTATTAATACAACAGAAAAAAATAATTGATCGAAAATCAATCAGTTCTTAATTCTTTATCCTTTTAGCAAATTTTTCAATAAATAAAAAATGGTCGCGTTCTTTTGGAATTTAAACTTTAATCCCTAATTTCCAATTTTACTAATCAAGCTTTATTTTAACTTCTCATACTAATTACTATTAAATCTAATATTTTATAATTAAAATAATATTATTAAAAATAAATAATAAAATCTTGTAAAAATTATCATTATTATTATTTTAATAAATCTATTTTTTATTATTTAAGACTAAAATTTTTTTTTTTTTTAAATTAAAACTATGAATTTGATAAAATATGAAATATGTAAAAAGTTAGTTTTTTTTTTTTTAAAAAAAAAAAAAACAATTATAATTATTTAATTAAATTTATCTTATTAAATTTATAATTTTTTGAATATTAACTAATATTTCAAATATAAATTAATAGAAATTTTTAATAGTATTATAAATTCATATAATTTATAATAAAAATATATTATTATTTAAAATAAAATATTTTATATTTTTAAATTTTGTTTTATTCTTATAAATGAATTTTATAAAATTATTATTTTTTTTATTTTTAAATAATTCTTAATATATATAATTTTTAAATATATTATATAATAAATGATTTTTATTTTTTAATTAATATTTTATTTTACTAAAAAAAATCATTTAATATAAAAAATAAAAATTTTTTTTTTTTAATAACTTCTTTCTCTTATAAAGCATCTATATAATTTAAAATTATATAATTATATTTAATAAAAACTTTTAATTCTGAAATTATTTTATTTAAATTTTATAAAATACTTTAATATAATATAAATATTTAATTTTTAATTTTTAAAAAAAAATTTATACATAATATAAATAAATATAATAAAATGTATTTTAAAATAAAAAATTTAATAAATAAACTTTTACCTAAATAATAAATAAAGGTTTATTAATATAATATAAATATATTTTAATATATATATTTAGTTTTTAAATATTAAAATAAATATATTCTTTAAAAGATAAGAAATTATATTTAAATTTCTAATTATATAATAATTTTCAATTTTTTTATTTTAATTTGTAATTAAATATATTATAAAATATATTATAAATTATTATTTTAAATAAACTTTATTTTTAATAATTATATTAATTAAATATATATAAAATTTTTCAATTTTTAATATTGATTTTTTTTATAAATATATATATCTAAGATTATTTATTAAACTAACTTTCTTTAAATTAACAAAATATCTAAATCTTTAATTTTGCTAATTTTTTACTAAAGTTTTGATATAAATTTATTATTTTATAAGCTTCAATATACTTTTACTTTTTTTATTTTGCAGATTTTTAATAAGATTTTAATATTATTTTACTAAATCTTATTTTTTATATTTAAAAGATTTGTAAGTTTATTTAGTAACCTTAATAATATTTAAATATGTATAATATTTAAAATTTAATTAATAAAAATTTTCAAATAATAATAATTTCTTATATTAATTTCAAAAAATTTGATATTTTACTCTTAATTATAATTAATAAAAATATTATTTTATCCTTTTAAGCGTTTTGCAATCAAATTTGCTTGTAATTTTTTTTAATAATTAAAATTATTTATAATCTTTTAAATATTTTTAAAATAATTTATTTAAAATTAATATTTTATAATAAATTTTATGATGTTTTCTAAATAAAATTTCAAAAAAAAATGTAATTAATTAGTAATATTTTAAAGATAAATATATGATAAATTATTATAAAAAAAAGTTAAAATTTTAAACTAATATATCTTTCTATCTATTAATCTCAAAAATATAAAAATATAATCATTTAATAGTCTTAATAAAATAAATCCAACAAACTAAATTTTATTTTTTTTGTAATTATTAAAAAATTATTTTAAAAAATTGAAAAATTGAAAAATTGAAAAATTAATATATATTAATAATTATTAATTTTAAAAATTTAAAAATAACTATCATTAGATAGATCTGAATATGATAAATCCAATAAACTTTGTTTTATCTTTTTATAATCACTAGATATTAAAATATTATAATTTTTCTTTAATTTTTTATAGCTAATTTATACTTACGCTTTAAGGAATAAGATTTTAGAAAAATTTAATTTTGAGAACAAAATTATTTCTTACTATGATATTCAAAATTTAAGTAAAAGGAGAATTATTAACATTAAAAATTTACCTTAGAAAAATGATTTATAAAAGTCATTGGATTTAATTTTATATAGATCATATTAAGAAAGATCTTGATCGAATATTGCATTAAAAAATCAGACTGATTTATTTAATTTATAGGTTTTTCAAAATTCACTTGATTCACCTGATTTATTTAATTAGCTTATTTTATTAAATTCTTTATATATTTATTATTTTCATTATAATTATTATTTTTATTATTTCTTTTATTTTTATTATCGTTATAATTTATCTTATATTTTATATCTTTATTTATTATTTTTTAAGCAAAATTTACTAAAATAGTTAGTTTATAATATAGTAAGTAGTTAGTCATAACAAATTCATTTTGTATAAATATAATAGCTTTTGCTTAAGTTATAAATTAACTCATTTGTAAGTAAAGGTAGTATTGTAACTAGTTGCAGCATCATCTTTATTTGTAAGTTTTATATGAGTTTCAGTATTATAAATAAAGAAATCAATTTAAATACATACAAATTTACTTTCCCTTTAATATTGTTCTTTATTTAGAATTTATTATGATATCCTATATTAACTTATTATTAAGTTTATCATTATGAGTTTGACTAATATATCTTAAATTTTAAGATGTAATAAATTGTTAAGTTGATTTAAATATAATGGATATCTATTAGACTTAAAAAAAATTCTAAGATCAAAAACTCTAACGTGTAAAATTAACTGCCTTATCTTTATAACTTAGATATTAAAATAATCAAAAATGAATCTAGTGATAATATATAACAATTATTTAAATATATTTTTTCTTCTAATAAATTATAATAGAACTCTAAAGAATATATAAATAACTTAGATTTAAAATCAAATTTTTTATATATTTTTTATATATTTAATTTTTTATTAAGAATTTATATAAAATTATTATATAAGTTTTAATTTTACTATAATTTTATATAACTTTATATTTGAGTTATAGATTTTCTGTAACTATTTAAAATATTTTTTTTGATTAAAAAAATTATAATAAATTTTTGCTTTATTAATAATTAAAGAATACAATCAACTCTTATTATAATGAACTCTATGTTCTAAATCTCAAGTTTGCTATAAGGTTATAGTAAAATTTTAAAAGATTTGATTAGCTAATTCACTATAATAAGAGTATTTTTATTATGTTTATTCAAAAATTTTCATTATATTAAAAGTTCGTTATATCAAGAATTAACTGTATTATTATTAATAATCTTTTTATTTTGATTATTTAAATGATAAATAATATTTCTTGAATATTAATAAGTAATTAAAAAAAATTTTTTTTAATATTTGAATAATGCTTTATTATTTATTTAAATAATTTTATTATTATTTCAATTTAACAATACTTTAGAATAATATTATTATCATTCTAATTGAATGATTCTTTTATTATTTATTTAAAATAATATTTTATTATTCTAATTGAATATTACTTTATTATTTATTTAAAATGATTATTATCATTCTAATTAAATAATACTTTTATTATTTGTTTAAAATAATAATTTGATTATTCTATTAAATAATATTTTTATTGTTTAATTAAAATAACCAATTAAAATTTCCAGATAGATTTTTATACAATCTAAAATCAAATTAAAATTGATCTGAACTAAAATTTTTTAGATTAATCTAAATTATTCAAAACTTTATTTTTAATAAAGCATTTTTTTATTTTAGAAAAAAATTTGATTATTTAATTAAATAAATATTTTAATTTTTAATTTAAATAATATTTTTTTAAAAATTAAATAAACTACTCAAAATTTTTAATAATAAAAAAAAGTTTTAATTATTAAAAAAAGTCTATTGAAATAAGGTTTTTTTTTTATTAATTTTTTAATTATTACTAATATTATTAATAATATATTAGATATAATATTTTATACTAATTAAGATTTGACTTGTTTTAAAACTATTTTCATTATATAAACATATAGTCTTCAGTGAAAAGAATAATAATAGAAAACTGAATCTATTTATAAATTATAGTTTTATCACTTTTTAAATTTAGATATTTATTTATATATTCAAATCAGATATTAGAATTTGAATTAAAAAGATAAATTAAAAAATAAGGTTTATTATTTATTTTGATTTTGATTTTCTTTCTAAAATTATACTAAGCTCTTTGTAAATACAAAGAAATTCTATTAAGTTATTTTAAAACTAAAAAGTACATAATACAAAAGAAATTTCTAAATGATAATATATTTCTTTATGCATATATAAATAATATATATGAAGTTTACTAGGAAAATGTAACTTTAGGAATTTTTTATCAAAATTTTATTTTTTATTACATTTAATTTTTGAAGTTATTAGATTAAAATGTAACAAGATTTTAATTTTAATTAAAATATTTTTAGCATCTTATTTTCCTAAAAACTTTTTAAAGATCAGTTTATTAAATAAAATTAATAATATTTCTATTAGTCACTCTTCTAGTTATTTAAGAAAATTAACTTAATCAATGTTATTATATTAAAAAAATTTATAATATAATCATTTATTATGATAAGCAAACTTAAAAAAAATAATCTTATCTTAATGTTAGTGAATATATAATATATTAGAATTTAAAAGTTTTGGATATATTTTTGTTCTTCTAAGAAAGATTCTTTTTTTAACCTAAATAAAGAATTTTTATTTGTTTTAAATATATAATTATCTTATTATAATTAAAAAAAAGTTGTATTTCTAATGAAATAATACTTTAAATATTTAAAAATATAATATATACATAGTCTTATAATGCATAACTAATTATTTTTATAATAAAATACCTATTTAAGGTTCATATTTAAATAGTAATTAATGTTAAAAAAAAATCAGTATCCATTTGTTTATTAAAAATTTAAATTGTTATTTATATCAAAAAATCTTTAATAATTATTTGTATAATAATATAAATATATTATATAATTATAATTAGGTCTTCTTATAAGATAATAATCTAAAATATATCTTATATGATATTTAAAGAATATCTTTTAAGATAAGTCCTTTATAAAGTTTAGATTTAAATCTTATTGAAAATATATAAACTATATTAAAAGATAAAGTGAAAAAAAAATTAAATATTTAGTAATAAAAAAAAAATTAACTGTAAATATATTTTTTAATACAATCAGACCTATATATAATCATACTGTATATAGTCATATCTTTATATAAGAACTCATTTTTGCAGAATGGATTTAAAGTTTATTAAATTATCTTTATATAATTACAAATCAGTTATAGTTACTATCATCTTGTGATCCATAACATGTATATCATTTTTATTAGTAATTAGACTTTTTTATAGTTACAGATTTCTAATTGGTTTATATTAAAAAGATTTGATTAGCTGCAGATCAAAAAAGTTTAATATAAAACCTTAATTTTAAAATTTAATACAAGAGAAAATGTGTTATATAATATATTTAAAATAGGAAAAATTAATAACATAATCATTTTCATTTCGTGATAATAGTTTTTTCTTACATTATTCATATCA